AGCATTTTCTGAAGCTGAATCTGTGATTAATCCATTGACTTTAATTTGTTTCTGTTCAAGTTGTTCAAAAGATTTTTTGGTTTCATCTATCACAATATCACCTGTATATCTTTTTTCATTAATATCTTCAATTTTCCAGATAATCATATTATTTTCTGAAGTAAACAAAACAGATCCTAATAAATTTTGACGTGCTACATTCTTCTATCTGTCAAAAACTAACATAACACCAAGATCATCATTAATAGCATCATTAAGAATAGTTTCTGAAATTTTGTTGATAATTCTTTCAAGAATTCGACCACTAAGCTATTTTTGACTTGGCAAACATAACATTGGGTTAATCTATTTAAAAAGTTCTTTAACCGCTGAATTTTCAACCTAACAAAAAGAAAACCCGCATGCAACAGTAACATTTAACAATAATTGTTCAAATGTTTCTATTTGTTCAGATTTTAACTCACGATATACATAATTATCAAGCGAACCAAAACTTTGAGATGATATATTAGATATATTACTTACACTGCTTCTATGTGATGTAATAGATGGTGTTGTATAAAAAAAGTTGTTTAAATTTCGTGACGGAGGTAATTGTGGTAGTGGAGTATGAAAAGTTAATTGAAATACATCCCTTCCACCTCTTTCGTCCTCTTTATCCCCTTCCCCTTCATCCCCTTCATCCCTTTCTTCTCAATTACTAATCGATGACATTTGTTTCATTTTTTTGATCCATAATCCATTGCATTTTGAATTATAGCACTAGTTTGTTCTGAGATATGTCTTTCAGCCCAATAAAAACAACTTTTAAGGTGATTTGCACATGCACGCTTGGTATTTATAAATTTATGTTTTGAAGCTTCTTCTGAACCTAAAACCCGAATACAATCTTGACAAATAGCATAATTGTTCCATTTATTAGATTTTTCTTCCAATATCAAAAAATAACCACTAAGTTTATGTTTTTCCCGTGTCATTTCTATATTTATTATTAAAAAAAATGAAAAAAAGAGGTACCGAAGTACCTTATTGCCAATATGACTATTATGAAAATACCCAAATTTTAAAATGCACAAATTCTAAAGCAAAATAAAACTATTGCATTGCGAAGTTGTAAAAATTTAAAAATTTGCGAAAGATTTTTTTATTTGATTATCATGTACTACATTGAATTTTATTGGACAATTAATTAGACTAAGTCCAATTGTATGTCCAATTATCCAATTGGATGATTGGATATAATCCAAAATCTATTTGGACGATTTGGACAATTGTATGCTATTGATCTATGTCCAATTGTCCAATTGTCCAAATTGTCCAATTCAGTCAATTGGAATGAGTCCAATGCCAACACTATTTTTGCAAGAAATTAATTGCTTGCTGATACTCAGTAGAACCATCATTTTAACTATTTTTCATATACCTGTATCCCTATATATAAATTTTAAGCTTCATGTGAATGCCTGTCTATAATAACCTTTTTCATTTCTTCATGTGTTAAATGAGTGGTTATTATTATAGACAGGCATTTACTGTTATTACTATTGTTATAGCAACAAAGGCATTTTCAGAAACAGTGAATCAATCAACAGAACTCTATCAATATATTTGTCATGCATCAAATTGGGAATTCAAAATGCACTATATTCATGAAACGTTTTAGCACTCTTATAACAATAAACTTAACTTTTGAATTTAGAATATTTTCTGCTGTATTGCACACAATCTTTGTATTCAAAAGACTAGATCACTTTTGCTGACAATGAAAAAAGAAGGTAGTAACACTGGGTGAGCAATACAGATATGAAAACAAACACTTTCATGTACAAAAAGAGCATAATGAATTGATTAACAAAGTAATATATGCGGTATGTAACATTCTTCCAACAATGCCAGTATGCCAGTAACCACTGAGCATCACTGGAAAGCAGCAATAGTTCACATATGAAATTGTTCAAATAGGTGGGACATAGTGCTTCTTGAAACAATGACAAATTCAGCTTTGACATTCGACCATCAATTAGTTCCAGAAAGTGACTTAATATAGCAACGATAGTAAGTACCAAAGCAGTTCGATTAGAGAAGCTTGGCCATTTTCATATCCCTTTTGGTTCCTGGCCGAGCTTTGTTGTGCTTTTGCTTCTAGATGCTTGGAACTGTTTGTCAGTTTCCTCGACCAACAACTGCAAAATAGAAGTAAATTAGTAAAGACACTCTCCACCAAACAGCAATGCAGAACTTACCACCCATGTCACGATTGCCTGATAAAAAGATGGAAACAAGTTGGTTTCAGACCAATCCGTGGGCACTTCGCATGTTTCAATTTCGAAAATTCGATATTGTGCTTATAAAAGGAAGTTAATGCATGATTCCTTAATATCACATATCAGTATGCATACCTACCAAGATAGTCCATAAAGTAAAAATGCAATTGAAGTTCACAACTCTGCGCCATGAATGCTCGAAAGGAGGATGGCAAGGCTCGTTTAAGCATAACTTCTTGTGTCACGACAAAATTGATAATGTCTTTCCCTGCCCTGGCATTTTGAATAAAATCCGAGGTCTCTTTGTTTTGATCGGTGACATATGGTCTACTGCCTTCGACCACGGCGATCTCGTACGAATTTTGACGGTTTGATGTGTATGCGATGCCGTCCGCACGGTCCGCGTTTCCCTTCTGGTTCATAAGAGATTTTCGATATGCAGAGGCTTTAATAGCCTTGCTACCTCTACAAGAGATGATGGCAGTTAAAAATATTGGTATTTATAATAATGAGATGAGGGCAAGGAAATCTATTCTTACGGCACATATGGGATGTGAGTGAATCGAGCGTATGCTTTCTTGAGAACAGGATGAACGAATGTATTCATATATTCTTCTTCGGTCATGTCTCGATTTTTGAGCGGATTCTCCGACGTCATTTTATATGCATCGAAACTAGAATAAATAATGTTAATATCCCTAAAGAGAAAGATACATTCTCCAAACACTTACAATATTGGTAGCGTTTCCAGCATCAATCTCTTCAACCTTTTCAAAAAAACCGTTTTGCCCACAATTGGCTTCCATCAAACTTTCGAGTTTCGATTCCCATTGGTCTTCATTCAATTTCTGTTAACGAGATGAAGTAAATGATGAGTTTTATGCACATAAATGGGCATGTTGGACTACACACCTCCAAAAAGAAATTAATTAGAAACTCGTGGGCATCCTCTGGAAAAAGCTTGTCAACAGGATTAAAGATATCCTGAATCATCTTATCATAATTTGTTTCTTCGGTATATAAAAGGACAAACTCAGACGACGGTCTAAGGTCCATTATTCCGTTTTCTGAAAGGATGTTGTTTGCTTCACATCGATACGTTTGAAAGTTTGCTAAAGTTTCCTGCATCTCATGTGAGCATTCCTCTGATTCATCTAACAGATTTCTAACTGCATCGTTTTGCTTGCTATGTGCTTCAACATTTTCTTCTTTACTATCGTCGCATTTACTGATTATGCTTGGATCGATTGTGAAATTAATATTCACATTTAGGACAGCAAAAGACAGCAAGAGACAATTACAAACCTCCTCATTCAAGCGAACGCGCTTCACTTTATCGTCTTCATGGCCTGGAAAGGACCTTTTAACATCTTTGGTTGCCGTTTGTGCTATGCTAGTCATTTGCTCGGTAACTTCATTGGCCACTGTCAATTTATATCTCGACTGTTCCGAAACAATATAAAATAAGAAGATTTGTCTATGCATTTAGTAAAAAAAGAAACAAATAATATTCACCCTGGTCATTCGGATTTGTGTCTCTGTAATTACATCCGAACCCCAAAATTGGTATATCCGTCCATTCTTCTTGAGATCAACCTAAAATGCAATATCTAATAAATAACTCACAATGCAAGAAAAAAAATCAAATTGAACAAAACAACAAAATATGTGATAGATGGATAGTAAAATGAGCAAGAGCTAGGGCGGACAAGTCCCCTTAGCTATTCCCATCACTACTGACTTACAAGCGAGCCCCAAGGCAGACAAGTCTCTCTGGTTATCCTTGTCACAGTCTCCATCATATCACTTAAAGAGATGAAACACTTACTTCATGCTTGGCTAATACCACTAAGGCTCTCTGTCGTTCTTGATGATTTCCATGCATACTCAGCCACTCGAGCTGTTTTTTGGCTGCCAATATCACTTGTCCCTTAGAGGGCGCATGGCCACTTGTGACCCAATGTTTGTGGTAATCTAACGGATCCCAACTTTCAGGTGGAGTTTCCTTCCAGTACGAGAACCCTAACGTATTTTCCACAGTGGTCATCAAAGTCGAAGATAAAGCTTTTTGGGAAACAAAATCGAAAGTTTAGCATTAAAAACTGAAGTTAAAAGTAAGAGAAACGGGACAGAGAAAGCATTACAGATAATCACCAAGAGATATGTTGATGGTAGAGCAAGAACCAGGATTGTTATTAAATGAAATGGAACGGGCGAAGACTGAGAAAAAAAAAGTTTGAATGATTGGTTGCCGAAATTCCGCGAACCAAGTACACGTTTATAATGCGTGCAAACGAAAACTAAAGTAAACTTGCCTATAGCGACGATGTTCTTGAGTCGAAAAAGCTGAGCTCACGCTCGCGATGTATCAATCCTGTGATACATATGTCACATGTACATTACCGTAACGTCACATGGAATTGATCTACTGCGGATGTGACCGACGCAATCAAAGGTTCCCTTTTTCATTAATTTGTATTCGAAGTTTTACAAAGAAAAAAATTCATTGTCGAATTGTATAAAATAAGTACAAACCAAACTGAACAACAAAGTTAAGAAATTTCGAATTTAATATTAATATGTTTGGGTTGCTTACTGGAAAACAAAAAATACGGCAGCCACACTAGAGTCATGTTATTCATTTTTAGCCACATGTAACGCAGGTCCAACCGTCCACACCACAAGATGACGTTTAGCAAGAGGGAATGGAGCTGTAGAGTCAAACAATCGTTTCTTTATTAACAAATAAAATATGATAAAGAACAGTGGTGTATGGTTTGTTAGAAGCCAAGGTAGATTATGGAGTCTACAATAAGACTCTGAGATCTAACCCTATTATGTCATTTCTCAAGGATGCGTCATGAATACAAACGTTGCAGCTTTGCAATAGGAAGACATCGGAGATCACAAAAAGCTCTCTTGAGTCTTTCCCAGTCAATTGTATTCTTCCATGTGTTCACCTCTGTCAACCCCTGAACTAAGCTAGGGCGGTTCCTGTATTTATAATATCTGCTAAATTATGTATAGCTAATGCTAATGTAAATCCTTCTATACTACCATGTCCTGTCCTTGTTGATCATTCCAGATTTGGATCTTCCATATCTGGAATGCAAAATCCCGTTGATCACATTTTCTGAGTGATACAGAGGTAGATCGTTGTTGCTAACCCTTGTGTGACAGTTCTGGAGCCTTCTTTGACCTTCTAGCATCACACCACATCAACCTCTTTTAGCTCACGTGATCAAATGGTCACTTTGTCTGGTTTTGTTGCAGCATGCCCCATATGGGGCAGACTGCAACAAGTGAACATTGATCATGTGAGTTAAAATAGGCTGATGTGGCTAGAAAATGAACTAATTTAGCTCATGACATTTTGGTAAGGCTTTGCTTAATTTATAGCTGTGGCTCATACACTAATTAAGACTAAATTTTAGTGACATTTTAGACCTATTGCTAGTTCTAAGCGAATGTGACTAGCATTCGTGTAT